GTTATGTGAATTCGTTCTATACAAGACTAGGAATTAGTATGTAAATATAGTAGACTAGCGATAATTACCTGTGTTTGAGATTCTAGAGTCGAGCAGTCATAGGAACGGGAAATTATCGAGAGCCAATAGTATACGGGATTTCCCTCGTAAGCTCGTTAGATAGTAAACGTCTTCCGACCAATTATTGAGTGCAGAAGGCGACAAAGAGGGGTGCGCGCACGTGTGTAAGTAATGCAAACTATTCGAAAGGATATAAACATGAAAAATAAATGAGAACCGGTACAATTAAAACTGAACGAACTGCAACGCAGAAGAGTCAATGATAAAGCAATAATTACATAATGGAACGCTACATTATCCTAAAGCTATTGAAATGCAGAACCCCGTAAGAACAAGTGATCAACTTCCAAGGGTCTCAAACGTGAATATTCATCGCCAACAGGGCGCAGAGGAAGCATCGTGTCTGCATCACCCGAGAAGAACTGTATCTTCCGTGTGCTTTGAGCACGAAGTTTCACGCGATCCGAGGAAATTATCCACACTCGAAGGGACTTCGACATGGGGGGATGGTGGTTGCGTGCGTTGCACTCGTGGATCGTCGGACCGATGATGAAGATAACGAGTCGGTGGTCAAAGGAAAAGGCTCCGTTGTGTTTCTTTTTCGAAAGCGCGTGCACCGATAATTCATTCATTGTTTCGCGCGCGAGCGGATCCGCGCCGACGGGGGCAGGAGAAAAAACGGAAGCAGAAGGGAGAGTTTCGCAGGCTGGTGGAAACAAGGAAAGCCTTTGTCGCCGCCCCTAGGCTCGCAGAAAACGGAATATAATGGAGCACGTGTTCTGGTGCTGCGCTAATGACATGGTTTCGCGGGTTCCCCATGGGCCGCCATTGTGTACTCGCGGTCGGGCGTCCTGATTCTCCTTTCGCGAATGGTTGGTTCCCTCTATGGCTGGATTCGGGGATATTCCTTTTTGTCTGATTCCCCCTTAGATATTGTTTGCATCTTGGTCTTCATTACGTGATTCAATCGGTGACTCTTAATGAAATTTACCTTATTTTTGTTGAGGCGCTACCAAAGAATTTAAGAATCTAAGTTTGAAATAAATATTGTTTATTCAGTACTTTGTAGAACTAGTCTAAAGACATCTGAAGATCTTCCAATAGGTATGGGTTGCGATCTACCCGTCGGTCGATTAGTTACAAAAAAAAACGAAAAACCGAAAAGCTACACTTTCCGCGAATGGAAGCCTCGATGGTGAGAGCAGATCTTCTCGGATTCGTAAAAATAACACACAAAGGAATCGAAGTGGCGCCGTTCTATCGAAGGCTATTGCCCCTTAATGGCTACCGCGGACTGCTCAGCCGCAGGCGATATCCTCCTCATTGTCCTCTTCTTATTTACTTCCCTTTTACTTGAACGTCATTACCCTTTTCCGTTCGCCAACCGGCTCTTCCTTCCGTTGTTCTTTTTCCTCGTTTCCTGGAGAACCTGTCCGCGCTGCAACTCGGAGACCCGCCTCGGAGCTCCGAAGCCGAAGTCGATCCCCGAGACGCGGTTTCATCCCGTATGCATTCCCATGCCCGATATCCTCTCCTGTTTTCCTCTCTGTCCCGCTCCGTGTCTCGCTCGCCTTATTCGGACATGCCAGCCGCGGACCGCGTGTGTGCAACGCCGATAGAACGTGTTTGTGTGTGTCCTGTGCAAGTGCGTTGTGCGCGCAAGTTTCTCTCTCTCTCCGCTTGCAGGGCCACGTTCACGCGACTCTTTGTCGGGCGGCGACGATCGGGGGCGCGCGCGCACTCGTCATTACCGTTGTTTTCCGCGCGGCTGGATAAATCCTTAGGTTCCCAATGATAAATCGTGTTTCTTCGAGACGTTCACGGTCCGTTCGCCGCAAACGTTATTTCGTCAGCTCGCGCGTGAAACTGGGAAATTCACGCGCTTTCGACTATTGTTCGACGCCGTGGAACCTTCGGCCGGCGCTCGGTCGTGAACGACGACTTTTGGTTCGCGGAACGCTGACTTTTGAGCCGTGAGACGTCCACGTTTTTGAGCCGTGAAACGTTGACCTTTGAGTCACAGGACGCCGACCTTTAGGCCTCAGAACGCCAACTTTTGAGTCGCGAAGCACGAACTTCCGAGTCGCGAGACGTCTACTTTTGAGTCACAGAACGCCAACTGTTGGGCCACGGTACCCTCACTTTTACACTCCAGCTTTTGAGACGCGGATCACGAACTTCCGAATCATGAGACGTCGACTTTTGAGTCACAGAACATCAACTGTTGAGTCAAGGTACCCTGACTTTTAAACCCCAGAACATCTGAGTCGCGAGATCTCGACGTTTGATCCACGGGGTACCAACTTCTGAGCCGCTAGACGTACACTTTTGATCCACGGGTCGGCAACTTTAAGCCACGAAACGCCAACTTCCGAATCGTAAGACGTCAACTTGTGATTTGTCAAATCCCCGACTTTTGAGTCTCACGAGAGATTTTCATGACCGCGTGAGCGATGGGATCAAACGTTCGTTTGTGCGTCGATGCAGAGGAAATCCGTGTGTACGCCAAGCGCCGGACACTCGTATCCCGGGTATCCAACGCTCGAAATGAAGGCGAAAAGAAAAAGACACGAAGGGAAAACCGTTTCTGGGCGGTGCCAGGTCTGTATCAGGACAGGAGCCGTATAAGCTTGTTTCGCAAACACGCCGCCGATATAATTACGTAAGTGGAATTGATTACTGTAATTGTTCGGTGTTCCGGCCCGCCCGGAAGCCGTACTTATAACTCCGACACTCGGGTTTTCAGAAGGTTCCCGCGAGCTCCGCGGTCTACTTTTCTCTCCCGTTGGTTGTTTATGCAAATAGACGGCTTGGTAGTCGGTTCGAGCTCGATCGAGAACGGTCTCTTTATTTATGTATAGGGTGATTTAAAACTGTGAACATGATTGCGAACGATTCGAATTCTTGGAGACGTAAGCGTTACGGTAAATTCGGTGTCTCCTTGGTGGAAACGCTATTGTGTTCTAGTGGATCCACCGATGCGGTGTACGATAATGTTTAAAGTTTCGGTATTCAAGTGGACCGATCTCTGTTTATCGTTTATCCTCGAACCTGAATCGCCCTGTACGATAAAAACCTGAAACATCAATATAAATCCACGGCGACGCGCTCGGCAATAAATCGATTCAATTTATTCGCCCGTTCGCGATTTATATATTGTAACGCCGGCGTTGCCTTTTTATGCAAATCAAACGATACCGTGATTTTATAACGCACCGCCTTAATTTACGCCCGCTTAATTACGCCATAAAAGACGAACGTTAAATCGTACGCTTCGAAGGCAGAATTTACGAACGTTGATCAGTCTTAATCGCGGTTTCATCTGCAGCCCCTCCCCTTCCGATTTTTTCGAGACATTTAGCGTAGATGTTCAACATTCGTATTGTGCACAGTATAGTCTTGGGAATATCGGAAATATCAAATATATTAATTAAGAATAACAATATATACCAAGTGCTCTACAATAACAAAAGCAAATAATTAACACGTTCATCGTGGTCCCAATTTCCACTAACTTTCTGTTCACGCACATCAGACATATTACATCAGTGTTTCTCAATCTTTTTCCGACGGCGGTTTGTTTCTTGAAATTGTGTGTGAAAACGTGGAGGCTATTTTCTTCACTTCTCTACGTGGCACGTTTATGTAATTTTCACCTGTGGTCTAGTGAAGGCGATACATCTGAATTGTGTATCGATATACCGACTCAGGGGTGAATATATTAAATATAAGTCTAATCGATCGATAATATTACGTATTCGTTGGCAGTGAAAATTCTCTCAGTAAACAAAATTAAAAGGTTTCTCCTTGACCATCGGTCGGATATGGGGACCAGTGTCCCGCAGATGGGTCAATCATGACCCACAATATCTCACAGACGCATGTACACACGAGTTAAGTGATTACCTGTATGTGTTCATCAATCAATCACCAGCTACACCAAGCTATGGGAACACGAGGGGGTTTAAATAGGTCGATTTCTCGATTTTGACGTGAATCGACGCAACGATTGCGCAACGACAGCCTCGTAAGTTCGCGTTTCACAGTCACCGCGAGGAGTGTGGGACTCTATCGTAGCAGACCGTTGATGTGTGTTCACCGAGTCCGGCGAAAAGAGAGACGATGGGAAAATTCGCGGGTAACGGTGCTCGCGCGCGGAAACAAAGAGTGGAGTCAGCGTTTTTGTTTGCTGTGGTATACGCGAGCATCGTACCTGGCGGCGGATTAAACACGTGGGAGTCTTCGGCGGGGCCCCAGCTCTGAGAGATATCTCTCTCTCCCAGTGGGTTACAGGAAGTGAGACTCGAGCACTTTACGATTTCACATGTTGGACACCTGAGACGCGCTTATACGAACTATAACGCCCACGACTGATTGGACCGAGTAGGGATCTAAACAGAGCTAGGGTAAATGACCCAATTACTGACAGTGTCTCTAATACTGCCACTTTATTTATTTAACTTCATAAAAACGTTATGTACAAACAATTTTATTATTAAACCGAAACTTCAATTTACATAGAAACAAAAAAATACATGTATGTACTTGCATATACTAGGTACTTAAAAATTAATGTTAATTTCCCATGTGTAAAACTATATTTTTAAATGACAGAGATGTTGAATTAATATTATGTTCATAATGTATAAATATTGTAAAATGCAAATTCTATGTGAAAAATATTGCAATGTAAAAGTACAAGTTCCTTGTTCGTATACGATGAGAGTGATACGTAGCCCCTGAATTTTGTAAAATCACAAACATCTGGAAAATAATCTTTTAAAGTTCACTTGCCAATTTTCCATCACTCTTGTTGTTTCGTAATCGAATAAGAAATCGGGGATATTTTTCCGATGGAAAGTTGTACTTTTTCGATCGGAGCCCACGCTGGATCGTATCAAGAAGCGGCTTTTTATTTTCAACGCCTATTTTCGTTTCAGACACGCCTCTGTCACCAATGGGGCCGTCGTCGCCGAGTCAGGAGGGTCTATTCACGGATCTTCGTCTTTTGTCCTTGGAGAAGCAGCTCAATATCGAACTCAAGGTAGAACGTCGTTTGTTAAGAACAAGTAAAGTAACGATGAAAAAAAAAACGAACATAACATAGTGCAAGAACTATCTTGTTCGAATTTATTTGAACAAATATATGTTAACCCTCATCCTTCTAAGAAACTATGTTATTCCGTTTTGTGTAGGTAAATTTAGCTGATGCTCCGTCGATTCTATTTCAAAGAATTTCCAAATTTCGCTATTTATCACTTCCGTATATTAATTTTTCACCATTCTGTCCGGGGGCCAAATTAAATTGGGAAACTTAGAGACGGATGAGCGTTAACTAGTAAACGCTGATTATCGTGCTTCGACGTAGAATAAGTCTGCAACCTTATCTTTTTTTAAGTCGTAGAAATCGCGATCGTTGTCTTGTTCTGTTATATTATCTTGTCCGAGAGTAATTATGGTTATATTGTTTATGCATAAATGGTGGAAGGATTCGTTATTATTTCGCTCGATATCGTGCCCAATACGGTGTGTGGCTGTGTATAATGATACGAGTAATGACGATCGCGCGGAATACGCTGTAACAATCGGTCTGCAATTCGCAACTGATTACCCCGGTGGGGGAGACGCGGTATAACAGTTCTCCTCGGTTTCTCGCTATATACGTGAGTCAGCAGTGAATCGTCGGCATTTTTGCTCGTCTCCAACTAAAGATAGCGTCCCATTTCGTCACACGATGATTTAAACTAATCGGAGTACGCGCCGAGCTTTGAACTTGCTTTTATGCGTTCGTTCGCAGGATCTATACGGCCGAATTGAATTTAATGAGAATACTAATTCTTCTTTTAAGTTTCCTCGTTTCTTCTTCTTCGTTGCACCGAATGCTACGGTGTGACCGTCGATGTTTATGCAGAAATAGATTTTTATGGGCTAATTAAAAGGGACTGGAGTAAAGCAAAAAATTCGAACAATGAAATTGTATTAATTTTTGTAAAATTCTCTATTAATTCTCAAACAATTACAATTAATCAGTAAATTTCCATCGATACCGATGATTAATGTATCACACTCGACCCGATATCCTGATGGAAAAATCGACGTCTCTCGAACTATCGATCCCAAGTATGACAGGATTGGCGGTTTTGGCGGTCCGCCAATGTCAACGAAATTTCCAATCCTCCCAGCGGTGATCCACGCCACGGCGAAATCGTATCTTTACGACATATTACGCGATCCGTTCCAGCCCCGTAATAGGTTTAGTTATCGAGCTGGTGAATACTTACAATGTTTTAGAATACGGGTAGTCTCCTAACGGTCCTCGTCAGGAAAACAGTGAAAATGCCGAAATTTTGCTTGAAAAAGGTGAACCTCGAATAACCATCGAACGATCTTCCGACAAGTTTGTGCAAATCGTTATTCTTGGTATTTTAACAGAGTCTTGACCACTGTGTGTCCTACCCAAGAACTTTCTGTTCGTGTCAGTGACATTTAGTAGGAATTCAAATGGGAAGTAATACAATGGGGAATAGTACAACAGACCAGAATGACCAATATAACGGAGATTTAATCACGAAATAATGTAATTTGCGTGAACGGAAAAGTCAGCCGAATTAAATGGCCGTGTATTGAACGTATATTTATTTGTCGCATGAATAATATTCTTTCTGTCGGTTGTTCAAGGTGAAACAAGGGGCGGAGAACATGATCCAGAGTTTGACGAGCGGCAGGGATAAGAAGCTGCTGCAGGAAGCTCAGCAGATGCTCGACGATTCCCGCGCGAAAATCGAGTTCCTACGTATGCGGATAATGAAGGTGCGTCAGGCGCGTCAGCAGCAGCAACGTGGGGACGCACCACCGCCGAATGGCGAGACAACTAGCAATAAAGGTACGGATCTCTCTCACAACCTTTTGTTGTCGGTGAAATCTACCGTTCATGATAATCCACGGGTAAATGTTCAGAGGTCGGTGTGCTGTTGGGTGAGCATTTGGTTGAGAAGCTTTATGCAGATTTTCATGTCAATTTCACAGAAAACTGAGGTACAAGGAGATAAGACAATTTGAGTAATTCTCGCTAGAGTATTTGTTAGTCTGATATGCTACATCTGTTAGTAGAAATGGAACCCCTGTATTTTCGATGTAAAGAGGAGCTTTGCACCAACCTAATATTTCAGATTGCTTGTATTTACTGTAAATGCATAAATGTATACAATCAGTAATCTAGTGAAGACTAATCATATTGCATTGAATTGCATTTATCTGAGTTCAGTGAGGAGGGTGAACGTGGTACCGTAAGGTCGAGATAACCGCGACTGAACCAGTGATACTCTGGGCCATTCCAATTGCTCATTACTGTGTTTCATTCAATGTTTGTTTAAAAATTCATTTAGTGACATCTTCAATAATATTCTTCCTCCGTTCCGTCCAAACTCACTCTGGTCCCAATCGTCGTCATTCTTCGTAAGTTCTCCCTTCACGAAAATCTTAGTTTCCCAATATTAACCCTTTAACACCCAGCCCTTTAAATTGTTCTTTCAAAATTATGACACTGATATTTATGTTATATTTTGTTATTTCAAAGTCAAACATATCGATATTAAACAAACCTATTATCTTTTTCATTTCCCCACCCCCCTTTTTAATGTATTTCTGGAGGGAATACTCGAATTTCTCAACAGAAAACGTGGAGAACTACTTCACATCAGTAAAATAAATTTGACTCAGATTTTAAAATCATTGTTGCACCAGTAAAGGGTTAACCACGATTATCTATGAACGAAGGCTGACTCTTAGAATCCAGGGGTGGGGGCATGAAAAGTGAAAAATGGATCACACAAAACACTCGAGCAATTGCAGAAACTGTTCGTGGAATGAATAAGTAATTAGTCACCTGGAGAACGTAATTATTCGCAATTAAAATCCACCTTCTTCTTCGTCGCCCACCGATCGTGTCGATATTTTCTTCTCACACATTGTGATTCATACCGTAACACACGTACATATTCGTGTACGTTGCACACGATGCTGACCGCTGAAATTATATTCCCGAGCCTGTCCATGAAATGTGATAGTAATTCGGTGGAAGTTACGAAGGACGTTCGTAGAACGGCGGAGAGGATTTTCGTTCGCGGTACATACTCAGTAACTCGTTATGCGTTAATAATTTTCGTCTAATGAGGCCAGTTGAACGTTATCGGGGGCCGATAAGGTGTACACACCTTGGGACTAAATAATTACATTGCACCCGCACGGATCTTGTGTTCGCTGGGGATATCTATGGCCGTCGTTGCGCCCAGTATCAATGTCTCAAAGTAATCGATGTTAATAGGGATGCCCGAGACTTTGGTGTACGGTATTTTATTCGAAACCACGTGCAAAATAATTGTCGTGATTCGAGCTCTCGGTATATTCTTGGAAGATAATTTTCAATCGTACCGAGGTTATTTTCGTATTTAACACTAGAATTACCGACGATAAACGCATATCTATTTCAATCGGACGATAAACACGACGAACTTAAAAATTTATAAATTAGGTAATATCTCCACTTTTGTATCGTGATACAAATTGCAAAAGATCTGAGGAAATTTATTATTATGTAACATTTTAATTATCGTTACGAGAATGTATCGACATTTCATTTTTCACTTGCTTGGTAGTACACGTGTTAATGTATCGAAAACATATCCAGAGCTTATTGTTCGTATGTTACATTAACCCTTTAACGCCCAGGCCCTTAAATAATTATTTCAAACTTATATTTAATTAATTGTAAGTCGAAAATATCAATATTAAACAGGCCCTTTTTTCATTTTTATCTTTTTCTATTTTTGAATGGAACATGTAATTTTTCACAGAATTTGACACACTTTAAAATGAGTAATTGCACCGCTGTAACACTGGACGTTAAAGGGTTTAAAAAAAGAAGAAACAGTCAATATCTTCATTCGACGAATTATTTCTCGAGCCGAACATTTTCGATAACTTCTGCCAAAGTATTCGTACTTCAGAATTCACCTGTTCAATGACTGAAATATTGCAAATTGAATTCTCTCGAATCGAGTTCACCAGAATTCCTCTTCGATCTGTCCGGTCTAATTATAGTGCATCGTTTATTAAGTCACGAGACTCGTCCCGTGCAGGTATGCAGACTCTGTGGACTATCGATCACGCGCCTTCCGCCTCGAAAATCCACCATTATCCTTTTCATCGCCGTTCGATCCAGCCGCGAGACGTGTATTCGAAAAGGGGCGAATGTGCCTGTATTAACCAAGCCACGATTCAGAGGACACCGTCAGTCTCGCGTGACGTAAAATCAATCCCGCCATCGGTCTCGACATCAAACAGATCACAGTCGTCCTCTGGTGCATCGTCGTTCCCGGTCAGATCCTCCCACACGCGTCTCTATGTGCTTTCGATCGCTTTTTGCGAGAACGTGCTCGGACAATCATGAGCCAACGTTCCTTTGTAAGATTTTTTTCGATTAGTATACTGCGAACACAGCGTTAACGATTGTTTATAGCATATTTCGATGGATAGAATGCAATAGAAAACGACATTAGTGTTTAATAAAATAATTTGATTACATTCTGCCTGATATTGGATTTATACAACAGTAATACCTCTCGAATCTAAGTTGGTGTTTTGTGGTTTCCTTTTTTTTTTTTTTCGAATAGAAAAACTGAGAGAAAGATATAGGGACTGAAAGAAACTTTCATTTATTAAACTTCATCTAATAATATAGATTCTAGACAGAAATTTTCATTTATTTCTCGTCTCTACAAAAGTGTGTTCAGAATGTCTAGCTGACACTGGTGACCGCCAGATTTGCTCCACTTCGGGTCCAGTCCAGTACTAGACTCGTTCTTCTCTTCCACTATCAGAAAAAAATTCGAATTTGCCTAAGTGCTCTCACCGTTTAGACCCACTGCAATATTTATAAACAGGTTCGATAAAATCAGATTCTTGGACCAAGCGAGACCGTTCCTTTTTTTCTTCTCACAGTGGAAAGATCGATATGCGAAAAGGTGACGTTACAAATACCACGAATAACGATGTCGAATTATGTGATTGCAGATAAGTACGAGCCCAGCCTGGAGCTAGCGTTAGAGGAGAGGGTGGAGGAGCTGCGACACCGTTTACGAATCGAAGCCGCGGTGGTGGAAGGGGCGAAGAACGTTATACGTCTTCTGCAGAGTGCCAAAGTCGCTGATAAGAAGGCCTTAACGGAGGTACGTATCATTTCCTGTTTAACACGCGTGACGATATTGGACGCGTTCGAGGGATGACGTTTCGATAATGAAAAGCTTTTGTCCCGTCCCGCTGATCGGATACACGACGTCAAAAGGCCCTCTACCATCGACGTGCCATTAACAAACGCGTGTATTATTTCCGCGATATTATTGGACAATCTATTCAGCCGGCGAGCCTTTCATGGACAGAATATTCGCCGTTGACGTTTTCTGTCTATGAAATCTCATTTAGAGGCTCTAATAATATACGATTCGCTCTGGTCGCGGAAAATCATTCCTTTATCGCGTGCATCCTCCGCGGTGGAAGTTTTAAAATGCTTGAAAAGATAGAAGGAAACATAATCGACCCTGATGATTTATAGTCACTTGGTTCACTGTTACTTATTGTGTATACCGAGAGGAACAGAATTCCTTGCAGACATATGGCGGGAAAGCATAGATATGTCGTGTGCAATGTGTTTTGGCGATAGTGAGGGAAACGATCATAGTACGTTTAAATGATGAGATTTCTACTGTTGGTTATTGGTTAGGATTAAAGACATCAAGAATTGCTGCTACACTGATCGGTATAAGAAACTTCGATAGGCTACTTGAGGACCACAGTCGCCTCTAGTAGCTAACCATTTAACAATGGAGACCATAGATACTTAATGAAGTGTATTAAACGTTCTGAAAACGTACCTTTAGAGTACATAGTCGATCGTTACTTAATTTCAACACCTTGGATCCACGGAGTCGAGACCGACTTGAGGACCATATTCAAATTAGGACTGAGATTATTCGAATATATTGTACAGTGATCGAGTATGTATTTAGATATTTTTAGTATGCATTTGAATGGTATAATGTGAATTGTAAATCAAGTTCTTTAAGTTTATATACTATTCGAATGGTATTCGGATATTTCGATATTCGAATGGTATTCGGATGCTCCGATATTCGAATCATATTCGTAAAAAATTGAACAACTGAAGTATTCGAATATTCGTATACAGAAAAATTCGACACGAACTTCCAGCCCTATACACCGGTCCCGAAATAGCGCCGCCTAATCCCCGCTACCCCGTCTCGTCACTCTCGTCTATGACGCCTTTTCGGGTCGCGCTTAGTTACCACCTCTCGGGGCGGGCGAGCTGCCGCGACCCAGTCGTGAGCAACGCGCGATAAACCAACGACATGTGCGCCAATCAACCACGGGCAGAGATCACGGGATACGCGTGTGTGCCCCGATCGGACGAGACACCTGGACCGAGTGTCGTCGGCCCAGCCCGTGGATAAATTCACCTGGAACTATGACCTGATCAAGTCCCCCAATCAAGGCTGACCTCCTGAATCCGGGCCAGAGGCCTCCACTCGACCCCAACATACCACGAAGACTGACTCGTCACCTCGAACCAAGTCGACGACAGATCGAGAGAGGAATACCTGTGTACACTCGAAGTGGCCAAAGGCTGTCGAGGCAAGAATTCTTTGATCTTGAGTTTGGAGTATCTGCAGGCAAGAATCCTTCGATCTTCAATTTGGAATATCTTGCGGCTAGAATCTCGAGGTTGAGTTTGGAATCTATACAGGAAAAGATCCTCCAATTTTTAGTTTGGAGCCTATCCAGAGACGTTAGGGGACCTCGTTGGATACCCTCTGACGGAAATAGGGGATCGTACATATACGTGAGGATGTAGAACACGATTTCTTCGGCAACGTGCATTTAATTTAGACTGGTGGCCCACGAGGACATAGTATTTAACGAGTACAGAGCGGGATTGGGTGGTTGACGCTGACGTATCAAGACGCAGGGATCAAGAGTGTCATCTGGTTCCAGGTATATTCGGTACGGCGGGGTGTTGCTCCAAATTTACGGTCGCTCTAATTATACACCCCGCGGCTCGATACGTACCGGTTTGTAACCTAACCAGGAGGGGGGAAAACGGCTTGACCTGAACCTCGAAAATTTGCTGGTGCAAGCGGAATTGAACGTAAATATTATGAGCAGCGTGGAATCGGTTCGCTCGACGCTTAGACGCGCAACTTTTCCGTGGCCGGTGTCAAAGTACGGATCGAGTGCCGGTCGGAGTGGAAGGATTCACGGTTCGTTTTCTACAACAACGGTGTCGCGTGTCCGAAGATTGTTTTACAATTTCGATACGTAATGTCGAAACGACAGAGAACGATCCACGAAAACGGTCCCGGTGTGTACCGTTGGTGGCCGTCCCGTTCTGAAAATAGACCGTGTGGAGGCGCAGTATCGCTGAATCGCCGCGATCTTTCCGCGAAGAACTGGTGTAACGTACGTACGGATTTGTGAAATACATTCTGAAAATAATGTTCCACGGTTGAATATTGCACGATGTTCGGATGGAGGTTGAAAATTGCCGAAAACATCGAGGGATAAGACGTCGATTTATGTGCTGTCGATATTGCACCGAAAATTGGTCGGCAATGTACTCACGGTGTTCTTGTGTGAACGAACTGTGTGTGACGTAAATCTACGAGATATCCTACGAAATTACAGAATAGTTCTGTTATAATCAATATCTCGAGATAGAACTTCCTCGGTGTCGTACATTGAGGGATAAGAAAAGTGAAACAGGCGAATCACCAATGGTGGATTCCATTTCACAGGTAGACACGATCGGTGTGAAAACTGACGCAAGAATATATCGTACTCGTCGTTTTTTCCATGACGAAATATATATACGAATATATTTGACGATCTTGCGAAGGTAGCCTTTAAAAATAGTACACGACTGTAGAATATTGATAAGAATAATGAGAAGGATTTCTATAAAGAAATCAACGTGACGAATCGCTACAATGATTCCATCGTACAAGATATCCACAAGTTGCCATTTTTTCCTTGAAGAATTGTAAGTTGTGAAACACTCGTGACAAATATAATATTTCCACACATGTTACACCTCTCAGACACAGGGGGATAAGAAGTAAAAAAAGACAAATAACTTCGTGGGTTCCATTTCTTTCAAAGTCGAACTATGACGACTTGAAATTCGCTATACGCGACCAAGCAATCGAAAGTAAAGCTTCTTGAAGTATCCACAAAAACTAAAATCTAATCGGGAAATTATACAGTCCATATACCAAACGTATTGTCTAAAGATCATCCAAAGTTCGAAAATTGCTACCAATAACTCGAAGAGCCTCAAGATACTAACCTCCTTTATTATTCACTCGTGTCTACCTACTATCACTTAAAGAAAAAATATTGCCAACATCTGCCAAGAAATAACAAGCCAGAAGGGTTACAAACCGTTCCACTCCCCTCGAATCCATCGACATCGAATCGATGTGCAAGGTATCCACGGGAGTTCGTCGGGTTGTATTCGCAGCGAACGTAACGAAACGGTCGTCGCGCGTGTTCTTGCCGCGTAACCGATTAAACGGTCGCCTCGACGATGTTTTGCGGTGGATAACAGCCTGGAGGCGACTGAAGAAGAAGCACCAGGGGCGGACGAAATGTACAGACGTGAGGGCGAACAGCCGAGCAACACGCGACCGCCGCCGCCGTGGCTGGTGCGTGCGGAAGTTACGATTCGTCATAGCACGCCGACAACCTCGGGATCTGAAGAAGCTCCACCTGTGGCTGTGTCGTCCACCGTCACCGATTCCGGCGGTGTTCGTATGGTGTACCGTTTGAGCACCAATCAATCGTCATCGCCGACGATTTCGACGTCTACCTCCGCCCAGTCGATCCCATCCGCGTCCTCCGGTTCGTTCGGTTTTCAACGTGGCAACATTCTGTTCACTTCGACACCGCCACCCCGACCGAGCCCAGGATTCTACACGATACCGCGATCAGGATCGTCTGGAAACGATGAATCATTGTCGTCACGTGGCAGAGGTGTTTCCGACTCGGGCTACAACAGCGAACAATACTCGCCGCAGTCCTACTCGAGTCTACCCTCGCGTCGTCCAGCCCAACAGTACAACCGTCGATGCAAAAGCACCTGCAGCATCGTTCTGTCCGCCGTCGACGTGACCGACAACCTGCGAAAAGAGACCTCGAGCAAACTGGCGACCAGCGAATCCACCAAACACACGTACGATCACTCCTGGCGCCACCATTCGAGCCAGCACGTGTTCGCCAGGCATCAGTTCAGCACCGTGCCGGAAGTATGCGAGGATTGCACGGACGAGAACACCACGTCCAGCGCGTTCACCACGCACTTTTGCAGCAAGGATAAAGTCAGCAGCAAGACGACCACCGTCAGCAAGGACGCCGCCTCGCAGACCACGGATATCGAGTCGCGGGAATCATCGTCGACGATTGTCAGCAAGAGCAGAGTTCGGAGGAAAGCGGCCACTGGTGTACGTTCGTTTGACGAGCAGAAGAAGAAGAAGGTGAGTTGCGTTCGTGTGGAGCGATTTTATCTTGTTCCTGCAACCTTCTGGTCGTTGAATCCTTTGTACTTTCCAAGACATCAGAGATAAAAGTATTATGTTCCTGTTAATATCAATAATACAGAGAGTTCGAAGTTCGATCTTAAGTCACATGAAGCAAGGAAAAATGGGGATATCGTTGTACCCTAGTGGAGAACAGCCTAATCCTCTTACCTCTAGAAGTCCACACCCCAAAACATTCGTCCTCTCCAATGTCTCTTTCTATATACCAAAGAATATCACGGTCGTATTTCACTCTCGATTTCCTTTTAGCCAGAGAGCGAATCGCCCACCCCAGCGTCCGAGACCACAAGCATCGGTCCCTCAGCGGAATCGGAGAGGTCTGACTCATCGACGAAAGACGACAGCGCGAAACGGAAGTCGCGTACGGTACATATAGATGTCTACTGTACCGGGACAGACGACGACGAAAACTCCGACACGTCGACCGAGAACGAGTGCGACACACCGTTGACCGTGTTCGAGGATCCAAACGTGAGAGTGACCCATAACCTGGCGCCGGAGGATGTTCTGCCGAGAGGATTCCAGGACGACAAAGCGTTTCTGAAACGGGCCACGGAAAGACGATGCGACAGCTTCAAACACGCGCCAATGAGGATGCCATCCATCGCCAGCTCGAAGGGTTACGATAGCGACGACGTGATGAGCTCGTTGTATCCCTCCCAGTTTAGCTCTTACAGCGCCCTCAGGGATCTGGACTCTGTACCGTGGTCAGCAGCGTCCTCAAACGCCGGGATGCCATTCGATTATGATTCCGCCGCGGCGACATCCTGCAAGGATACGTTCTCCGACATCGAATCGTTGGTTTCCAGATCGGACCTGACCCCGTGCGACAGCTTCGAGTACGCCAGTTCCAGCGAGCGCGAGAGAATCCGTCGAATGGAGGAAATTTGGGCGAAGTCGGGGGAGAGGAACAAGAACTGGCGATCGCCACAAATCGAGCGGAAATATTTGTTACAGAATCGAAAGATGAAGGAGTATCTAGAGAAGCACGAGGTTGGATGGTCATCCGCCGATAGCGGGGAGGACACAGACGAGAGTGGCACGGTTGGCTGGAGTTTCGTCTCCAGCGAGGACAGCCAGAGGATCGTTAAGAAAAAATCGACCATTAAACGGAACGGTAAAGGGAAGGCCGCTGAGAAAGATACGACTGTCGTCGCGACAAAGAATGAACCTATTAAGTATTCGCAGACCGATCGGTCGGAATCGACGACCAGAAGCGACTCTATTCCACAGCCTCATAGTCTACGCGATCAGATAGGACCGTTCGGCTCCAAAAGCCCTTCCCCACATCCGTCGAAAGTATCTTCCAGGGTCACCTCACCTTTCACGACTCCTAAAGGCGAAAGAACCGATCATAGTATAAAGGCCTCTGTATTCGGTACGGTGGTGAACGCTTTCCGGAAGCCTGGCCACCATATTGGTCCCTCCAAGAATCCTTCTTGCTCCTGCGAACATTGCAGGAGACACTTCGAAGAGCTGAACTCGCGGGAACATTCGAGTTCCATAAGCGAGTTCGCGCGATGGACGGGCTTCCGGTTGTAGAACGAATGGAAAATCATTTGTCCGGTCCCGCAGAACTGTAACTCGTGAGAATTTAATGTCTCGCTGATGTATTTCCATCGCTTTTTTTTTTAAATTATATACTAGAACTTCCGGTTTCAAACGGAAATCGTGTAATGTAAGATTGTGTTACATATAACGCGTGTGCTTAAATTATATTTATTGATTACTATATGATATTCCATACTCATAGTCCTTTTTGTATTTATGACTGTTACAAATAATCGCCAAAACATTCTGCTGGGTATCGAGCATTTATGTAAGCCTATCGGTATACATGACTATCTATGCTGTTCATGTTGTTAATAAATATTGATTACATTAGTAATGCCAGTTTATTGCGCGTGTCCTTTCTGTCTACTCTTATTTTTTTTTTAAGTATCGTTTCTGTATCCCCCCTTTTGAATTACTTCAGGCTCAGGCGAGTCTCGCAGAATCGAGTAGAAAGCTGGACCTATTGAGATTATCCCTTGAACTTAGAAGGCAAGAGTTACCACCCGACAGTGGTACCGCTGCTCAATTGAAGAGGGAATTGGCTAGCGTGCAGTCAGCCAGTCCTGTCCCTGTGACATACACTTCCTTGCAACCGTTTCGTGGTCCTCTGGAGGGCAGAGCCACTGTGCCTGCTTCTGTATCAAGATGCGCAGCTGTTACTGGACAGTTAGAGGTGAGAACAGTTACCGTGAAATTTTAATGAGTTTGTTTGTAATTGTGCATCCACTACAGATACATGGTTCTAATTTTAGGTGAGGCTGATGGGGTGTCAAGACTTGGCAGAAGAAGTGCCTGGACGTACCAGAAGAGAGCACCCAGCGAGTCCAGATTTGCGTAGTTTTGTGAAAGGTGTCACTGGACGTAGTTCGAGCAAATCGTACAGCGTTAAAGACGAAACAAGTAGTAAGTGTTACTTGCAGGAATTTTTCGTTGTTGCAATAATACCTGAGTACTGATGGTTGCGTTTGTTGCAGATGATATTATGGCGGTTATTAAACTGGACAACCAAACGGTAGCACAGACTAGTTGGCGACCGTGTTCTCAGCAGGCTTGGGATCAAAGGTACAATTTTTAATACATATATAGTTCTGTCACAGGTACGTGATTATACTCTGTCGTACGATAGAGCGTCCTTGAATGTATCAGATAGTAGAAATGTAGCATTTCTCTTTAGGTTTTCCATCGAACTAGACAAATCAAGGGAGCTTGAGATAGGCATTTACTGGAAGGATTGGAGATCTCTTTGCGCTGTAAAGTTTCTACGTTTAGAAGAATTTATCGATGACGTGAGACACGGAATGGCTCTTCAGTTAGAGCCGCAGGGTCTTCTTTTTGCCGAGATTAAATTCCTGAACCCTATGATTTCGAGAAAGCCTAAACTGCAACGTCAGCGCAAAATTTTTAAGCAACAAGTGAAGAACTTCCCGCGAGCCAATCAGATGAACATTAACGTAGCTACTTGGGGTAGACTTTTGAAACGATCAGCCCCTTCGTTACACAATACGAGAAACTCGGAAAGTCCGCCGTCAGGTTAGTATACATTAACTGTTACATTATCGATGGATTGTTAGAAGGCGTAATGATACTATTTTGCTCCTTTAGGACCACAACCGTTGCAGCTAGTTTTTGATACGTCACTGGAAGATAAATCCGAAACACCTGGAGAATTGCCTGATCCGGATAAAGGAGGTTTGGGAGGAGCAAGGCCTTTAGGATTATCAGCTTCGAGCAGTAGTCCTACATTGCCACGTCCTCCGGAACATCCTCCACCACCTCCACCTACAATCACTAAGAAACCCTCAATGCCAGCTCCACCACCGCCACCGAAACTAGATCAAGAAGTAAGTCACGACAAATACATATTAGTTTTCTTATATTTTTCACCTTCAAAGAATTTATAATCACCGTTAAAACGATTAGATAGAAAAAAGTATATTTGGACCAAGATGTAGTGTATATTAAGAATTTATTATTTTATTAAAGTATGCGAAAGTTTCCTAGTATTTTCTGTTATTTGAAAGGTTCAGGGTTTGGTACACTGGTTATGGGTAAAACCATGTAGAACACGTGCATACAATGTATTCAGTTCACTTCGTATACTTCCTAACGTTTGTACATAGTAATATATATCTTTACAAGGCATGTTAGCGTATATTATATACTTTCACCTGTGCAAGGTATACCAGTATTTATAATTTTTTTTACACATGCTGCTTTAAGAATACAATGAATATAATATTTTTATACACGAAAACAGAATGCTATAGCACTGAAGCATAAAGCACAAAAAACTGTTAGATGCTTCTAGCGTATAAATTTTTATTTACATTTTATATACTTATTCATATTTTTTCACAATGTTTAATTTTGTTTTATATGCTAGCTTTCATGCATTAGCCGTTCCCGCAAAGTTTAGCACCAATGTAATCGAGTACATTGGTGGGTGCAATGTGCAGTACTCCTTTGGCAAAATCACAACAAACTCCCTTTGATAGTTGAATTTCTTAGTCATTAATATGTATTCTAAAAACGTACGTCGCTAAAGTACTATGTTTATGATACTTATCGTTTGGAATTTGTTACGTTACCATTAAAAAAAAATTAGCGATTTAAGATAGTTCCCAGAGTTAAGCATATAGTAATGTAGTTGCAGAGTGCATTAAGGGAGTTTGATTTCCTGCACAACGAGGAAAAGGGGGGCCCTCAGGCCGCAAACTTGAGGCCTCTTGTTACAGAGCCTCGTCCCGTGCTGATTGCACCACCCTCTCCACGCACACCCTCGCCCCAACCTGTCGTCGAGTTTCCTGAAGATGAGGTACATTCCTCGTTTACACGCAGCTTTATTGTTTTTCTAATTCTATTCCTATCTTACTGACGTATTCAATATAAAATCGCTTTGGTTTAATTTATGTGTGTGAACAAATCGTTCGCAGAGAGCATGCCATTGAAAGTTTTGCATGTACCTATGTCTGCATTTTGTACAAAAGCTTTTAACACTGTATTTGTGTATGTGATTCCTTTTTAGTGCTCCATTTACCTTTGCTTCATACAATACAAGAAATATATTATGATACTATAGTTATAGGTACTTCTTTAACAATTACTAAGAACACTTTTATATTAATGAAATATAATACATAACTGTTGTGTGTATAATATACTAATACTTCACATTGCAGACTTTACACATTCAATTCAATAAACCCTATACGGAAGAATTAAATACCTGTTTAATTTCAGATTTCATGACAATTTTATGTGCATAAGCAGCCGTAGACTACTAATAAACATGTGCATTGTGTTAAAACCTTAGTCTTAGTACCTTACATTTTACAATTTATAAAACTGTGTTAACATGTCTGGAGCAGTACTACCAATTATTAATCTATAGTGATTAATGTGTATGTTTTTATTACGGTTGTGTGGTAAATATGTCGTTCTAAGATGAATCGTTTAACAATTGTAGGTCGTGTATGAAATACCCTCTAAGCCTACTCAATACAGAGACAGTGCCTATGAATCTAGAAGACACTCGCAGCTAACTGGAATGAACATAGACAACTTTAGACTACTTTCGGTTCTCGGCCGTGGTCATTTTGGAAAAGTAATTCTGTCGCAATACAGAAACACAGGCGAATACTTTGCGATTAAAGCGCTGAAGAAAGGAGATATCATAGCAAGAGATGAAGTGGAGTCGCTACTTTCAGAGAAGAGAATATTTGAAGTGGCCAATGCTACGCGCCATCCCTTCCTAGTGAACCTGTTTGCCTGTTTCCAAACTGAGGTACAAATTACATCGGTTGCACTGGGAGCGCGTACCACATTTGAAACTTCGAAAAATAAAAAAATGTTTTCTTCCTCGTAGGCACACGTGTGTTTTGTGATGGAGTATGCAGCTGGGGGAGACCTCATGATGCATATACATGCAGATGTCTTTGGAGAGCCGAGAGCAGTTTTTTATTCAGCTTGCGTTGTTTTAGGATTGCAATATTTGCATGAAAGCCGAATCATTTACAGGTACGTTCTGATGAATTTTATGTGCGCATACATACAATATTTTCGCAGCCGCGCATACAGAGATCAATGTACCGTTTAATCTTTCAGAGATTTGAAACTAGACAATTTGTTATTGGATACAGAGGGTTATGTGAAGATCGCAGATTTCGGTTTGTGTAAAGAGGGAATGGGTTATGGCGATAGAACAGGAACTTTCTGTGGGACACCAGAATTCTTGGCACCTGAAGTTCTCACTGAAACCTCGTATACCAGAGCTGTAGATTGGTGGGGCCTTGGTGTATTAATATTTGAAATGCTAGTTGGCGAGGTAAGCTCAGTTGTAACTGTAACCATTCAGGATCGTTTATTGGGGCTAATTCCTGTATGTTTTTTCTAGTCGCCATTCCCTGGTGACGATGAAGAAGAAGTATTTGACTCTATTGTAAACGACGAAGTTCGTTATCCACGGTTTGTTTCTTTGGAAGCAATAGCAATAATGCGAAGGGTAAGTGCATTGACTCTTTGTTATTAGGTTAATAGTTCATCTCCTACTGCTAGCGATATAATAAATATTTTCTGTTTCATTCGCTACAGTTGCTAAGGAAAAATCCCGATAGAAGATTGGGTAGTAGCGAGAGAGATGCTGAAGATGTTAAAAAACAAGCATTCTTTAGGCATATAGTTTGGGATGATTTACTCTTGAGACGCGTGAAACCACCGTTTGTTCCCGTAATTGTAAGTGTGATGTATTATCTCTTTTTCATAATGATTTGACAAAAAAACATATGTACGGATTGGTGCATTGCGTTTGCATTTCCATTCCAGCATTCGGTGGAAGATGTCAGTAATTTTGATGAAGAATTCACATCGGAGAAGCCCCAGTTAACGCCGCCTAAAGATCCTAGACCACTTAACGATTTAGAACAAAGTCTGTTTAAAGATTTTACGTATATGGCTGACTGGTGCTAGCCATAATGATAATGTTGATCGTCTTTTTTGTTAAATTTGATACGCAAAATCGTCTAGCGTTCTATTATTATCTTTTCAGAGATCATTTTAGGGGCAATCGCATCGCAATTAATAATACCGGTAATTATATATCTATTTGTTTAATTGTCAGAATAGTGTGTTCCACACTTCATAATGTTATGTATTGTACAGATGTTTTATTTTTTAGTGTCATGGTATAATCGGACATAGAGAATTAAAAAAAAAAGAAGTATGTTCTACCGTTGAATCTCAGGTTTTTAATTAATATATGAATTTCAGGCTTTTAACTCATAGTTATACATTTTCAGATTTACATTTATCACGATTACCGATTAATTTCAATATACAATGTAAGGTAATAGTTGTAGTCATTTGAAATGTTTGAAAATAATATTCACAATTTATCAACTGAATGACAGAAAATGAAACATAAATTATACATGTACTTTTGTAACATGATCATATTTTGATACGAAGCTATTGCCGTTTGGTACCTAAATTTATAAAGATTTCTATCGCTTCATAGAATGTTTATCAGATCTCATAATCACAATTCTAAATGCTGATCAATTGTCTGAAATTATTTACTTGTAGATCCAAGTATTATTTTACAATTTTTCGTCGTACACTTATCACCTTTATGTGTAATAACCATTTTTCAGCTACTCCAGGTTTATATTCTCCGTGTATCGTAAAAGGATATTAACTGTATAAGCATAATATCATTCATAGAGTGCAGTAAATAAATCAAAATGTAATTATATTTGCTCAGGCTCATGTGATAGGGAATTGAATAAAAGAGACGGCACTTGCGTTAATCATGGTAATTGCAGTTAGCATCGGGCACTTTAAATATTATTACAATATATCAATCACGTATACCTACCTTATCAACGCAATCAGCAGTTAAAATCATTCTTTTATAGTAAACCCAAAAAAACTTGACAACTTCAACTTAAGTGCTTGTAACAAACAGGTTTCTAAAGGTTTGATCTCTATTTAACCTACTTGTTAATTGTACTCCATCATTTAGTTACATATTTCCGCGTTTCCAATATGTGATAGAATACTTGTGGGTATTCTAGTACTATACATTGTAAATATGTAACCAAACGTCGACTAGTAATAATCTATAAGATCCATAAGTACAATAGTTCAGCTTGATATGTTATTACAACTTTATATCACAAGGGTAACACAATCTCGTAGTAGCACATTGTTCGCACTCATATTCACCTTTTATTATAAACATCACTCTACAATTCCCTTACTTACGTTTCTTTTTGTACTCTGGTTTTGTGGACAATTACAACTACCTTGTACAATCATCACAAATATATGCGTTACATCTTAGTTACTGAAAGAGTTTTGTACTAATATCATTTTAATTCCTTTTAGAACTCTTCTGCACCATATAAATTTATCTGAAGCAGTTTCACTGCTTTAATCAACTTCTAAAAATGTCACTAGTAATACAATAAAGAAATTAATGTTGAAGAGGTACAATCTTTCTCTAACTCTCAATTCATTTTATTAACTCATCAAATTTATTTCTCATATCATCTTCTATGTCAAACATTTTTTAATTGGTTATAACAAAGAATTTTTTAAATGAAGCTCCCTGAAACAGATAAATGGTCTTCATGTAAATTTGACTTGCATTTTAATGAAAAACATTTATCTAAACAATTTATGAAAAAGGATAAACAATTGATCACAATGTTTATAAATGGTAGTGCTGTGATACTAATATAAAAGGGTTTCATTTGGAACTTTCTTACAATAATCTTCAGACAAACTTGAAAATATGATTTGAAGGAAAAAAAGAGGACAGTATTTAAAAATATAAAACAGAAAGCCGTTTGTGATAATTTCGGGTATACCTCGAATTCTAGTTGCCTTAATGCATCAACAAATTAATAATCGTTTGGTAACTATTTTCTACCGAGACCATGTATGTTGAAGAGGAAGCCTACTTATGTAGAGGTGCTCATGTAACACATTACTTATAATGTGCCTGTTTTTTACAATTCTCCTGTATAGGTTCTCCAATTTAGCTAAGTAACTATAATATAACTTTAGTTATAACGTAAAAGGGCGTTAAAATCTGTGTAACGACATCTCGTTATGTAATGGACAAGAAAATATGTAACATTGGGATTCTTGAAATCATTAAATTACAATGCATTAATAAATTCTTAAAGTATAACAAAACATCTGAAAAGTTAAAAAAACATTTATTTTTATAGTGTATAGATAACAAGTTACATTACTTTCACACGTTTAACTGCCAAAATCCATGTGTTTATAAAAACGAAATATTCTGTAGAAAAAAATATTTTCTTGTCAACGTGTTAATTGTATACTACATTATTACATCTAAAACATATTGTATACACTCATGACTAAAAAAGATACTGTATTAACATCACGTATACATGTAGCTTTTTATAAGATTGAAATTCTTCTGGTATACTGCAATTTTAAGAAGTGAAAAAAAAACGTTTGAAACATAGTACATAATTGAATGTATATACATACATATAATAGAAGTGTCGTACATTTTTTTGTAGATAGATATATTTTTAACACTCAAACGTAGAAACCTTCATAGAATATACTTTCGTTACTTATTTTTATATAAATAGGAAATAATGTAGAACACGTAAGTTCTAACCATAGGTAAAATGTTCACTATATTTATCTTTATTTGATAGTAATGAAACAGCATGTGCCTCGTAGCGTTTACTAAATCATGTGAACAGTTAATATCCCTAGGTAAAGGATGCCTACAGAATATCATTAAGAAATAATTTATTTAATGTATACATTTGCAGTGGCAGCTTAATACATATCACTCTGATTAGTTAAGTAACTTTTAGCAGTACTTCCCAAATTTACAATACTTCATACATATAAGCAATACTTACTTTGAGTAATAAATATCTAAAAGCAATGTACAATTATTCTGTGTTTAATTTTTCCAGAACCTTGAAGAATTAAAAATTGAAATTATCAAGTGATGTATGAGAAGCTACATCTGAACAGTAATGAATAATGGATATTATCAAAGAGGAGCTGATTATGTTTAATAAATCGAACTTATTATGAAAAAAGCATAATACAGTATTGTCAATATGTTTTTATTCAGTTAGGCCCTTTATTGAGGGATGCTTAGGTATATACAAAACAAGAGTTTTCTTATTGTTCTTTTGTCTCTTCATTTGTTTTACTTACATCAGTTTCTGTATCTTTATTACTATCTTCAGAATTTAAAGATTTCGCCAATTCATATAAGTTTGAAGTGTTCTTTCTAATTTCTTTTTCCAATTCTGACTTTTTCTCCTCTTTCTCCTTCATCAATTTAGTAACTTCTGGGGACATAGGTTTTAGTAACCCTTTACTTACTTTGTAAATAATACTGGTACTATCTTCTGATTTAAAAGCAAATGTGATCCTGTTACAGTACAAGCATATTCATTTATAAACAATAAAGTGGACTTTATGTCTTAAATTATCTAAATAATTTTTGCCTTTACCTATCACTGTTCAAACCTTCTTGTATTTCTTCTATTTTGTTCAAGGATATGTTGTATAATGTTGGCCACGGTATGTAGATTTCTGCCTCCGAATTCTTTTTTCTTTTAACTTCCAAGTATAGTACATCCAATCTTTCATTGTACTTGTAATTGACATCCCAGTATCGTCTCGCTAATTATAAATAATATTTGTCATATTGCAAATTCTATTAAATTGTCTTCTCACAATATTTAACTTACCTTCACATAGTTCAATATAAACATGAAACGTGGTACTTATTTTTACAGGATCAGTGCAACCTAATTTTCCAATATGATAATACTGAAATAATTTGTTATTTATTATCAGAAGTTAGTTGTTTCATATGTATACGATTTCACTTACACTTGGATGACAAATGTCATACATTTTTTGTGACTTTTGTACTCTAACAAAGTGAACACTTGCATTTATGTTAACAAAATTGTTTTCATTTTAAGTGTTTTAAGAACGGTCGTCCGTGCTCCACTTCGGTCTCACTTCATCCCTACAATTACAATGCACGCATAAGCGGGCCGCGCAGTCTATTGTCTTTATATCTCCTCTGCGTACTGCTGCATTCGATCACAGACGAGATAGAAGAATAGACGGTCTATTCTTATATATAGACTATGACCCCACTTCCTCACACCACAGGGTCTTTTGCACCGGCACCGGGGGCTCTGTGACCCCACGATCCACCACACGTGGTCCCTGGCGCCTCCACCGGGGGTTTTGTGACCCCGCGTTCTCACTACACGAAGACTCTCGCGCCTCCATCGGGGGTTCTATGACCCCACGCCTCAACACACGGGGTCTCTTCCATATACGTTACCACTTCATGTAAGTTTTAGAATATTGATATTAATTTATGAACCGAGACTATGGTTCACAAGTTTCCAGGTTGTTGATACAAGAATAAATTAAAATATCATTTTTATTAACAAAATTAATTACTGCCATTGTTGTTGGGGTTACTATATAATTTGCTCACGGGAACACGCACAAGCGTCAGTCCCAATTCGACAGTTGCACGAGCAACATTCGACCGAGCTCGAGAGTTATACGAGCAACAGCGATAAAGGATCACGTTTCAAATGGTTACTGACGCAAGCCATTTCACTATCGTTCATTGTCCCGTAATCCACATGTAGTAACAACCGATTGAATCCGGCAGAGGACTACTGCAAATTATTACACACGTCTATCGTATACCACCGGTATTCAAAATTTCGGTGACAAACTTATGAAACCTTTATGAAGTTTTGAAGACTGTACGGAAAACTTGCAAGTGACAAAGGAGGGAATTATTTGCGGCATATAAGTTACAATATTTTATAAGCCTGAATAATATCTAAGCCTACTTTTTCCGAATTTATATAAATATCATTACAAGTATATTGTAGAATCATATAGATAAGTAGGATT